CTTCACTCAGAAGTTTGCTGAAATGCAAGAGGAGCTGGTGATTGGGCAAAAGGTTTGGTATTGGCGCAAGCATCAACGAAGGCTGCAAAAGTCCGGTTGGCGTGGTCCTGCGAGGATTGTTGCAATAGAAGAGCAGCCAAGTGTCAATGTGTATTGGCTTTGTCATGGCACATCGTTGTTACGTTGTGGTGCACGACAGGTGAGGCCAATGGTTGAAGACACTGGGATGCCGGTTGCGTGTGATCGGCAAGCAGCTCTTCGTGACTTGCAAGAGTTGAAAGCCAGGAGCACCACACAGTTCAAGGATGAACTTCGACGCAGTGGCCAGGTCGACGAAGCAGATGAGCTTGACGGAGATGATGTTGAGCTTGATGCAGAGTATACACCTTCATTGCCAGGAAGTGTTGATGAAGCAGAAGACCCTCGTTCAGATGATGATGCATCAACTGGCAATGCAAAAGAGACAGAAGAGCCCAATGTTCCTGGAGTGATCAGTGTTTTTCTTCCAAGGTTGCAGGCAGAAGATCGAGAAAGAACACCCCGACGTCGTGAGTCGGTGACTAATGCAGCCCCGACAGATTTGGAAGAGGATACAGCACATGCTCCAGCTCCATCGAGTCCAAAGAGGAAGTCAGAAAATGTTGCTTCTGAAGAGCCACCGGGAAAAGCCATCAGGGCATCCAGTTCAGTGCCTGAGTTTCCTGGCGATCTTGGAGGAGGAAGCATCCCCGGGCCGGACGATGATGATCTGGTGATAGAAGATGTTTTTCTGACACAGCTTCCTGAAGATGTTCCATCAGGATGGCGAATTGTTGATGGTGAACTTGAGATGGACGATGTCTTGATGGCCGCAATTCGCAAAGGTGAGGTCAATGAACGGAAGCTGGATCCTCAGGGCCGAGCTCAGTTTGTTGAAGGCAAACGCAAGGAGCTTGATCAATATTTTAGCAATGCAGTATGGCAGTTTGCAACGACAAGTGAGATTGAAAGTGCCATCAGAACAAAACGTGTGATTTCTGCTCGCTGGGTTCTTACCTGGAAGAAGTTGGAGACAGAAGATGGCATCACCCGTTGGAAGGCCAAGGCCAGATTTGTTTTGCGAGGATTTCAAGATCCTGACATCTTGAACATGAAGACCGCAAGCCCAACTGCCGGTCGAACCAGTCGAACTATGTTGCTGACAGTAGCTGTTTGGATGGAATGGTCAGTGTTTTGTGCTGATGTTCAGGCGGCTTTCTTGTCTGGAAAAGGTTTTGACAGGGTGCTCATTGTCAGGCTGCCAATGGATTGTTTGCCGTTGGTCGATGGAGGACAGCAGAAAGTGTACAAGAAGCACTTGTACATGAAGATGAAGAAGAGTGCGTACGGCTTGTGCGACGCACCGCTGCTATGGTTTCAAGAAGCTGCTTCTAGGCTGACAAAGCGTGGTTGGTTGAGCCACCCACTAGATCAGTGCTGCTTCGTGTTGCCATCCAGCAAGGATCAGAGCTTGACAGGCATGTTGATTTTACATGTTGATGACATGTTGCTGGCTGGAAGCATGCAAGATGCTGAATTTGCACAGGCAGTTGAGTTCCTTCGCAAAGATTTCAATTTTGGCAAATGGGACGAGTTGACAGAAGATCAGTCGTTGAAGTACTGCGGAGGAACAATCCTGAGGAATCAGCATGGCATTGAGGTCAGCTACGAAGAGTATATCAAGAAGCTATGTCCGATGACCATCCACAAAGGTCGAAAAGATGAAGACAGTGTGACACCACAAGAGGTCAGTGCAGCTCGTGGCCTCATAGGAGCACTACAGTGGCCTGCAACTCAGGGCATGCCGATCTTGTGCGCTTCGATGAGCATTCAGGCTGGTGAAGTTCCAAAGGGCAAGGTGCTGCATCTTCGTGAGTTGAACAAGACATTGCGTTTTGCAAAGTCGAACGCAGCAGTTACATTGAAGTGTCTTGGTTGCCCAGCTGGTGAGAAGAAGCGTGGTCAGGCTAAAAGTCTAAGTGATTTGTGCCTGGTTTGCTATGCAGATGCTGCATTCAGCGTGAGGTCAGATCATACCTCGCAAGGAGGATTCATGATTTTGGCTTGTGAGAAAGGAGTCTTGCAGGGCCAGAAGCGGCCAGCATCCATTGTTGCTTGGAGGTCGTTCAAAGTCCCCAGAGTTTGCAGGAGCTCTTTAGCCGCTGAGTGTCAGGCATGCGCCACAGCATTGGAGGAGCTCCTCATGGTCAAGACATTTACAGAATGTCTTCGGAGGCCTGGTGTCGCTTTGAAGGACATCAAGGACAGCCTTTCAGGTGAGTCAGCCATGGTGACAGATTGCAAAGCACTCTTTGACGCTGTGCATCGTGAAACGATTCAGCAAGCAGCAGACAAACGTGTTGCAATAGAGGGCTTGGTGATCAAAAGTTTGCTGGCAGACTTACATTGTCAGTGGCGTTGGGTTTCAAGTGAACGCCAATTGTCAGATGGCTTGACAAAGGTTGGAGCTCGACAGAACTTTGTTGAACGATACCGTGGTAGCCACATACAGTTGGTTGCTGATGAAGGGTTCGTTGCTGCAAAGAAGAAGTCAAAGGAGGAGCGAGCAAAGACGATCCGTGAGACTCGCACCACACGTTCTGACATAGCGCAGAGTTTGATTGCGCTGATCATGGCAGATGAGGTGACGAAGGCCGCTGCATCCACTCATGATGACTGGAGTTTCGGTAGCTTTGAGGCCCTCATTGTGTCGAGCATTGTTGGAGCATTGACATTGTTGTGGTTCCTTGGTCGGCTCGTGTTTTCGTGTTGCCCCACTGTTGCCCCACCAGAGCTGAGACGCAGTCCAAGGCAGATGAAGAGATCGCCCGACTCAAGCTGGAACTCCATGAGCTTGAGGATGAAATGGAGCGAGAGCGTAAAAGCATCTTGAAGGATCTGGAGAGAGAGGAAAAGAAGAACCATGATTTGAGACAGAACCATGATTTGAGACAGGAAAACCTCCGACTTCAAGGTGAGCTGATGTTGGCGAATGAAGCAGTGCAGCTATTGAGGACTGGTGCTGTTTCAGGACCTGCAGTCATGACAGCTCCAGGGCCGATCTACGTGACTCCCTCCGGTGAATGCTGGCATCGAACTCGCACATGTGGTGGGTCGAACAGTGTCTGCAAAAGAGCATGCAACAGGTGCAATCCTGGCTAAGCTCCCACCGATATGAGTTTTCGGCACGAAACCTTCGAGACGATCGATCGATGCTAATGTGTTTTCACTTGTGATTGTATGCTCAAGCAAGGGCGGGCACGCGCGCATAGCTAGAACCAATTCGGATACGCCTTCGGAAAATCATGTGCGCTTGAGAGGTGCATTTCGGTTCCTAAACTTCGTGTGTCAAAGGATCATTTGTTGCTAGGAATATAAAAAAAGAAATTAAAATTATAGATTATATAGAATACAAAAAATATACTATTTCAAAGGAAATTATTCATAAAATCAATAATTATTATTCTTGTTCGATCAAAATACGAATTATATCAATCTCATAATTAAATTACCATCAAACATTTAATATACAAAACCGATAAACCACATCTAAAATATCGACGACAATTTACTCATATAATATATTTTCTATTTATATTTTTAAATTAATCTATTCATTGTATTTATATATATATATATCGATTATATAATATATTATATTAAATAATCAACAATAGAAAACAATAATCGTATATAGCAATATACAAAAGAAAAATATATATAATCAAAATATATTCTAACCTAAGAACTTGCAAAATGAAAGCCAACGCTTTTTGCCAAACTACAAAATAATTAGCAAATCTCGCATTTCAAAATTCCTTTCCATCAATGAAGCAATAAATTTTAGAAAAATAATACATAATTTTAACATTTCATTCATATTTTTAAATTTACACAAATCTAAAATAATTAAATAAATTAATATATTATGGTTTGTATAAATCCAAAATATCAAAAATAAATTACCAAATTTAAAATATAATTGTTCTTTCATTATTCGATATAATCCAAGAGTGAAATATATATTTTCATTTTTATTTATAAATTAAACATATAATATATTTAAAATTAAAATATATATCTATAATTATACGAAATTGCCATATATCAATCTCTATAAATTCAATTTTATAATTTAAATAATACGAGAAATTATATTATATTTCTTATATTAATATTCCTTAATAAAAAAAAAAAATATATATATTAAAAATTTCATTTCCATATCTCTCTCTCCCCTAATTAATTTCGAATTTATATTCTCGGACCATATCCCTTTAATCCCTATTTATTAATTTCCTTCGCCAAATACAACATTCAACTAACACTATCTACGAAAACCAACTTTCGGAATTTATATATATATATAATCATATATTATTAAAACAAATAAATTTCAAAAATATTTTAATAAATTATAACATTATAACATTTTAATAATAATTAAACTATATTTAAATATAATATAATATCAATTTGTATCAATAATATATATATTAAATCATTAATATATTAAATATATAGTAATATATTTATTAAATCGAAATATATCTAAATTTCAATATAAATCCAAAAAAATATATATATTAATAATTCATATCATAATATGTCGATTTCATATATTTTTTAGAATATATCCTTCGGGACAAAATAAAATTTCGGCATGTCTTTCCGACATATCTCCTAACATTCTTTTAAAGATCTTTTCTAGTATATCTTGTACATTTAAAATATCAAGTTTCCGACAAACCGATCACATTTTGCCAAAGGATTACCATTTTACGTAATAGTCATATTCTTGTCAATATATCCCAAACACTCCATGTATGCCATATATGCCCCACATTGACCCCCAAAACCACCCCAATGTAGGCATATATGGCATACATGGAGTGTCTGGGTATTATACATTTTATTGTTTTTAATATTGTTCTTTGAAAATTATTCATTCTTATTTGTATAGATAGTATTTTTTTAACATTTTACCATAATGGAATTTTGGCCTTATCCAAAATTTGTACACATTCTGAAAATCTGCTGTCATCTGGCAGATCTTGACTAAGCATCCCCACCAAGGTGCAAGCTAGGCATACGCCCAGGATCCATAAGCCAGCAGCAGTCAGGCTGATCATCAAGAACATCAACCCTGGCATGGTTTCAATGAAAGCCATCTGGCTCAAAACATCGAGATCTTCCTTCAAAAGGGGCTTGGCTTGGAACTATTTACGTGATTCAGCTAAGGAACAATTGAACAGCTTTATCGTATTGTTTTGTTTCGTCTTTGTCTTAGACGATGCTTGACATCTTTTCGTGGTTACATCAGATTTCACAGCTATTCAAAGTTGTTGGCCCATGAGCACAACATGCGAACAAGACAAGACTCTACCTTCCTTCTTTTTAGGTAGACCTCGAACAGCACTACATAAAAGCCAGAATAATCTGAGACCCAGTGCAAGCGGAATTCTGTAGACTCCGAAAATACGTTGTCGAAAAGGTCCGCCTTTTCACAGAGCCTAGAAAACTCAAAGCAATGGTACAAAGGTGAAGGTTCCTGAAAAGAATGCTATTTGTACACCGTCCATGTGCCCCAAGCATCGAGGAACCTGTGCAGCTAGAACCTCGGCCATGAAAACGTGGCTGACCATGGTGTGGGGCACTGCTCGGGCACAGCCTGCTGCCAGCTTTTTGGAGCAGCCGAAGCGACCTTAGAACTTCCACAGCGTCAGCCCTTCTCAGATTGGACTTGGAGGTGAGGGGAAGACGTGGTGAAATTGAATTGGAACTGCTCCCATTCAGTCGAAAACTGTTCACTCTGAAACACTGAGTTTGTTCGCCCGCTTCACATCAATCAATTCTCCTTCATCTGGACGAACAAACTTTCTTCATTCGTCGGAACGGCACCGGACTGAGGAGACCAAATGAGCTCAAGACAGAGAGTCACAAAGAGCTTCTGTAGAACATTGTTCTTCTACATTCCAGTGGTAAACAATGGCTGCATGTTGATCTTATCAAGGTCGTTGGTCCAGCAGAAAAGTGAAACATTGAATTGCTCGCCTTGACCAGCAATGTCTAAAGGGAAATACGATGTTTCTAAGGACCGCCGCAGAAAGGTCTTAGATTGCCCAATTCATGTACCCCTCCTGGATGTCTCAGAATGCTCTAGCATCACCTGAAACAAAAATGAATCCGCAAATTCCTCAGTTTTAACCTCTTCAACTGGGCCTTCCTGACTGGACACTTGGCTGATGAGCCGATCAATGCCAGGAGACATCGCAGCAATGATCTGGCGACAGTGGGGATCTCACAAATGACAACCCCCGTAGCTGAAAGGGCTTTGCTGGATGAGGACACATGAAAGAACCACAGAGGACGCTACTAGGAGCAAAGGGTATTGCTACGAGGACCAAGGACGCTACTAGGGGCTCCTAGCATCGCCAGTAGGAGCAAGGACGCTAATAAGTGAAGTGCCTTCCTCGGGGCGCTGGAGCGGGATGTTTGCCTACGAATTCTGTAGAGGGCAAGCCAGTGTGGGATTTGTTGAAGCGGCTCCAGAGGTGGAAAAAAACCAGCAAAACAACAAGTAGATACACATATCAACAACCGGAGCGGAGGACGATGTGTTTTGTGTGTAGCTCACTACAATCCGACTCTTTTTCCTAAGGTTTTGGAACTACTTTTGGTGCAAACTCTTCTAAAATGCACTCCCCGCACTATACTGATTTTTAGGAACCTACATCAACTTAGATTAACCTCTCCCACAAGTCTGATAGAGAAGCAGAAACCACATTGAGCCTTTAGCTAAGGCAAGTGCGACACGTACCCAAAAATGATTAGGTGAATCCAGCTATGTATCCGCTGGCTTTAATGGGACAGGTCTTGTGGTGGCCTTCAAAAGACACTGCGCAGTTCAACGAAAAACTTTGTCTCGTTGCGACAAGGTTTTGCTTACCATGAATAGCAGTGGTCACAGTGTAGATCAATCCCCTATCAACGTGAGGCAAGAAGCGCCACGCACTGTTGGCTGTGGGGCAAAGGCAGGACTTGAGACCATCTCTTCAGAACGTGCACGTACACGGATTCAGCATTAAGTTACTCAAAATATATGGTGATACTGATACACGTAGTGGGAAACCTCGGAACCCGGAACGCACTTGGTGAAACAAAAACGATCCGTGTGTGTGTGTGTGTTTTTAAGGAAATAAGAATGGAGAACCATAGATCACACTAAGTGTAACTCAACAAAGCACCAAGTCAATAACAGAATCACATCAGCAAATTAGGCTGCACCCTCTCAGGTTTCATCCTTCACTCTTTTCACCGTCCACACTGTCCACTTGGGCATCCTCACTGTCCACTTTACCGGCTGCAAGGGCGTGCTGGCCTCAAGCTTTCTCCAGCCGAAGCCAATGAGCCAATGTAGGGCCCCAAGCACCCCACAGTTCACTTCAAACTGCTCCACATCCCCACTCTCTGAACATCCAAAAGGGATCAAGTCTGTCTCCTCAAAGCTCCCTGCAAGATCCAAGCAACAAAAACCACCCAAGCGGGTTCAAGCGGGGCTGGCTGTTGACCCTCACAGGGTGAGGGACAATGCCGTAGGCTTGGACTTGTTCCATATTCTATCGGTTTGGACGAACACAGTTGTTGTAAATCATCACCATGAGCAAATCCAGGAACCAATCCCCAACTCCACAAAGCAATTGGTGACCCCTTGGAAACAATGTTCTTTTGCCAAAGCTGCACTTTCAGGGTCTCTATATACATGTTCACTTTTGGACGCTACCAATGGAATAAACAATAGCATTTCCCGATCTTTCTCAGCAACGACTTGTTTGTTCGATTCAAACAGGTTGTCCAAACGACTTGTTATAGGTCGTTTTCGTTAGGTCGTTTTCGCACATCCAAACGCATCCTGACGCCCACGACTTCAGAGTGAGGCATTCGTGGTGATCCAAACATATCACGAACTCAAAAGAAACCAGTCTGATCGGGAACCTGAACAAAATCATGCCCTCGTAGGGGAGCTCATCGCTAATTCCAGCAGGACTTATCCTTAAACAGGAAATCCACCTGTAAAAATCCCTTCCCCGAATTCTGTCAGAATTTCTAGGTTGGGTGGTGGATCCTGTTCATTTCGGATCGTTTTGAGATCCCTGGAGATTCAGAGGTTCAGGACTTCCCGCTGAGCTTCCCGGCCACATAGACTGCAGCGTAGGTGGCCAAGAAGGTCTCAACCCACGGACGAGATCCCATGTTTTCCAGTTGTCTTCCGATCTTTGGGGTATTGTGATGTATTCTCGTAGAAGTACTTATTCATTCCCACATCCGGCCAGGGTCAAGTCTGGCCAGGACAGGGTATAGGCCTACTGCACTGAGAGGAGGCCCCAATCCCAACTTTTGACAAATAGATCCTGCATGGAAACCCTCCTGGTGAGATGCTCACTCCGAATCAAATGGCCTCAAATCTACGATCGAGTGCTGCAAAGGTTGGCCTGATGTGTCGTGGGAGTGCCACCCATTCAAACCAACAGTGCGGGCCCCATTGCACACCTCATGTTCAAGCGTACGTGCGCGCGTGCGTTCTTTCTTGAAACAATCTCTTCTGCTGTGCAAGGGTTCCGCTACTTTCCTTTGGATTTGAAGGTTTTTGCTGCAGGAGGGCAGGAGGGAGCATGCATTGCGATAGTGGAACGCATGGAGCCTGCTCTTAATGGAACCCTTCCTGCTGAAAAAGAGGTCAAACGAGCCTCCTTTCAAAGAAGCACTCCTAGCCAAGAAACGGTGCAAACCAATTCCAACAACTTGTGGGATGATGTAGTAGGATTAAGCAATTCAATTGCAAGGACATGAAACCCCTGAGAAAAAGACCTACAAAGGTGTGCTTCATCCTCCTCAACAGCCAAGGTTTCCGGTCGTTGCCAGGTTCCCGCACTGGCCACCGGCGTGGGGGCGGTAGACCAGTGCGATTCGCCGTCAGGTACCAAGCCTCACTGCGCTCCAACGGACATGGGTTGAAAGGAAAACGACCTTCCCTTTGGAAGTCATGGGCGTTTGGCACTAGGAACAAGCGCGCTACTAGGGGCTCCTGGCCTTACTACTACGAGCAACGACGCTACTAGGGGCTCCTGGCCTTACTACAAGACCGACTATTGGTGGTCGATACATGATTAGAACACCATTCTTATGCGAACAAAGCTCAGCTATCATGCTTTCTTGTGCACCCTGCTCGATTGCATACTTAATGGTGCCTTCGCTGCCCGTGGCAGACCACGAGAACATACTCATCACCAGCCATGGTTGCCCCAAAATTGAGTCTTGTTTTTTGCAACGGTGCGCACAAACAAACCACTTTCCAAAGCATACAAAGTGTCCCAAACGAGTGCATCTTTTGTCAATGCCCATAAGGAGAAGACAGAAGTATGTTGTATATAAGGCTTGGCAAGTGTCTGTGCACTAAAGCAATACTTCATATAATCTACAGTATAATATATATATAGAAAATGATTGTTTTGAACGTACTCTGGAAAAGCAGTGCTGATAGCCAAGTAAACACCGTTCAAAGTCATTTACACACTTAGGGATTCAACGACGAACCATAGGCAGTTCACACATTGGACTGTGTAGAAAACAAAAAACACTTTGCTGGGAAAACTACAAATGCTAGCTTAGGAAGCCCTTCTTGGCTGACATCGCTTAGTCGTTTTGTCATTCTGCCGTTTGATCATCCTCCGGCAATGACTCCAGTCCAGCAAAACAGATGCCCAGGCGCAATGCAGTTGATGATGGAATGCTTCAGCAACTTCATTGCCCTATAGGCAAATCCGGAAACCATTCGCAGGTGAGCTAAGTTGGGAGTTTCCTTGACATCCGATCCAAGCAGGGTTCACACCAAATTAAGTATTGTCAGCATGCGGCAGCTCCAACTTCAAGTCTTGGAATGAGGATTTTGCATCATATATCATGTCTTAGGGGCACAGTCATTGAAGCGAACCCAAGCATTGTGGAAACAAACAGCAACATAAATTGCTGCTTGTGTTGCGACAAAGTCGGAGGAAGCCAATTAGTCCAAACCAACAACATGCGATTGTGACATAGACCATCTATGCAATGCAACATTAACTTGTTCCCACATGGCCATGGCATTATTATCCATCTTGTCATCCAACACTGTTCTGGCCACTGGCTCATCGCGTTTCTGACCAGTCACGATCGGTTGGATCTGGTCGCAGTTCAATATACCCGCAGCGTTTGGCACCAGCGTTTTTCACCAAAAGCTCAGCTCGACACCAATAGCTCATGGCACCAGCTGCACCCAAAGAGACGAGGCGCTCTCGTCGACTGCTTGGTCTGAGTGAGGCTGGTGGTGGCGAGGAAGTGGGTGTTGCAGCACGATATCACACAATATCTAAATCTAGCGAGTGTGGTCCTTACGTTATAGTAAACATTGTCTACTGAATCTACTAAATCTACTCTACACAGTGCCCCAGTTTTCCTCAGTTCAACCGCTCCGGTGGACATCCCAAGTTACCTGACCGTGGCAGCTCCCACGAACGACATGTCTGTTCTTGCCTGGTGATGCGGAGCTTTCGGCCTCGGATCCAAGTAACTGTGTTCTGAACCGCCGACGTGGTGTAAATGCTATAACGATATATATATATATTCTATATAAATAAATACATATATATATATATGTATTATAACTGTTCCCTAGTTACATGGGATGGCCTCGGATCCACTCCAAGAAAAGTCTCCACATGTATGACAGTCTAACATGCAATTATGCATGTCATGATGTAGATTTGACAAATAGGCTAGTGCATTCGTGCAGGTAAGAACAGAGTTCATCGGCAAAGTGCGGTCAACCATTTGGCAAATCCCTCATCCTCCAATCAGCCGAACACTTTGAGACCCTCGACACCTCATTCTTCTGGTCTCCTGATCCACTAGGAGCAAGGACGCTACTAGGGGCTCCTGGCATCGCTACAACAGCTGGTGTTTCCGAATTGGGAGCGCCCCAGTCTTCCACCCCCAATTCGAAGACCCACTGGATCGGGTTTTGGACCTACAATGCAAAGTCAGGCCGTGTCGGTTGGGACCCCACAGGAAGAGAAAGTTAACGATATTGAATAGTTATATGCTGTGTATACTGTATATACCTCGCTCATCGGACGGTCAGCACGCGTCGATGGCATGAGGGACATATATATATATATATATATTTGTTCAGGAGACCCATTGGATAAAATCTGGGAGAGGCTTGATTGCATCTTCTCGAACCTTTTCTGCGGATGAGTGGGGATGTCTCGCCTTTCCGTCACTTTGCTCATGCTGTATGACATAGAGTGACTGCATCAAGCGCCGTCTTAAGCTTCAAATTCAATCCCCTTAGTATGATGTTGGGCCAAGATCTTGTACTCACTCTTCTGGCGCTGCAGTTGGTACATTCAAGCGCTGCCGTTTCGGCTAGGCTCCGCGTGGGTGACAGACCGTCCATGGAGGAATGCTGTTGACTGACGGCCTGCAATGAGCTACACAGGCCAGTTTCTCATTTCTACTGTATAATACGGTAGGATGAACTTGAACCTTCTCAGTGTTGGATGTTCTTTGACACGAACACAGTGAATCACAGTGATTCTTGATAGAGACAAAGGGTTTCTCCCGGAAGAAAACGCTAGATTCACATAGATTCACTAAAAACACATTTTTCATGACATCTCGAAACAAATACAAACCTCATCTCCACCCACTTCTCCTGGTCTGATCGGCAAGCGAACAGCTCTGAGCTGTGGGCGGCCGTAAAGATTGAGGTGATCAAATCTCAGTCACGGAAGCAGAATCTCAGGGGCCCAAGCAGGGCGGGCCGAATATTAGGAAGCGCGTCCTCTGGTCGAAGATCATGATCTTGGGCAGTTCTTACTAGTAGCTTCTTGTTACTACTAGTAATGCCCTTGTTACTAGTAGTGATGCACTTGTTGCTAGTAGCTTCTTGTTACTTCTAGTAATGCCCTTGTTACTAGTAGTGATGCACTTGTTACTAGTAGCTTCTTGTTACTACTAGTAATGCCCTTGTTA